CTTTTTGCTTATGTGGTGCTGAGGAATCGAACCCAGGGCCTTGAGCATGCAAGTGCTCTACCACTGAGCCACCTTCCCAGCCCTGGAATGTGCTCTTTTATTTTCCCATAACTCCCCTAAGAGAGCCAATCCCCTAATCTGAGCCCATAAAAGTGAAGCAGAGGAGAACTATTTGGTTTAGTCATGTCTGTGGTCACCCTATGGTCGAATTGGAATATTAATGATTTAATAACAAATGTTCTGCGGTGATGCACGGGCATACTTCACCCATTGCCCGGGAATGTGATGGTCAGAACCAGCTGCTGGCCTGTGGGAGAGGCTCAGGGCCCTGAGTGATGGCCAGCTGCTGGCCCCAAGAAACAGTCACAGATCAAAGTCCCATTGCTGGCACCTCCCAGCCAATCTAAGAGAAACCGCTGGTTCTTACCATATTTTTTTCTGATTTCATCATGTCTTGACTTCATCTCTGCTCTCCTAAAAAATAAAAAGCAGTATCAAGTAGCATCAAACTAGAGCATGCAAGGTCACCTCGAAGGGGTCCTTACAGTTTCTTCCTTTGGTGGCTTTCTTCTAGCTTCCCAAAATAAAGTGGGGTGTGCCTGACCATGAGATCACCACCCCAGGACCAGCAAAGTGTCAACAAAGAGAGTCTCCTGAGGCTAATTCTATTTTTGTGTATGTGTGCACATGTATGTGTCAGTCCTGGGGCTTGAACTCAGAGTCTGGACACTGTCCCTGAGCTGCTTTTGCGCAAGGCAAGCACAATACCACTTGAGCCATAGCTCCTTTTCCATTTTTTTAAGCAGTTTATTGGAGATAAGAGTGTCACCAACTGTACTACTGGGGATGGCCTGGAACCACAATCCTCGGATCTTAGCCTCCTGAGTAGCTAGGATTATAGGCTTGAGCCACCAGCATCTGGCTCAATAATTCTGTTCTTTCCAATAAACTAGTTCAGGCTTGATGGTACATATCTGCAACTCCGGCACTCAGGAGGCTGAAGCAGAAGGATGAGGAAACCATGGCCAGCCTACACTACAAAGTAAGGTTCATCTCTCAAAATTTAAAAAACGTCAAATGCCTAATATCATCTTTAAAAGTTCTTTTCACAGAAGGAAAATGCACTGAGCATCTACTTAGTAGCACCTGACTTCAGGTGCCAGTCGGCCAGGGGAGGACTCCTCCCAGGCCCAGCACTCAGGAGAGAAGTATAGTATCCTCTGAACCAGGAGCACAGCCCAACTCTGTAAAGCACCAGGGAGACTGAGCCCAGAGCATCCTCCCAACCTCAGTGCTCCTCGGTTATCAAAGGCCTGGGCCACCCAGGCAGCAGTAAGGGCAGCCCAACATAGCAAACAGACCTCTAGGCAGGCGGCACTGTCAGCTCTCATCCTCCTTTATCCAAGACAGGAAACAGACCTAGTTTGCAAAGTTCCTGACACTTTTCCTCTCCAACCACAGCCTAGAAAACCCTGTGGACATGGCGTCCGGCGACACTTTTAGAAAGCTCATGAGCCTAGCATCACCTCCCGTCTCTCCAGATCTGGACAGAAACCACTGAGCGCGCACCTCTCCTCCTGTCGGACTCTCCTCTCCTCTTGCTCTCTCATGGCCCGCTCATCGCTCTTGTCTGGCTTCCTGCCCTTCTTCTTGCGGCAGCAGCAGCAGCAACAGACAACAACGCTGAGGAGGATGGAGCCTCCCAGCACCGACATGACGATAATCAGCGCCTCAAAATTCACTGAAAGCCAATGTGTGCAGTCAGTACCATGTCAGATCCCATCTACCCCCATGAGCACCATGCCAAGCTCACACCCACCTCCAAGAGCACTACTCTCATCCTACCAACAATCTTGGAACACAGGGCCCAAGGCGGTCCCGCCTCCACCTGCTGTGGGTCCAGGGTGCCCTCGGCTTCCTTCAGCCACCGTTTGCCTTAAAACATTTCTAGATTATTATCAGTGAATTGAAGGGACAGGGTGACTTTTTGTGTGCCAGTCCTAGGGCTTAGGCACTGGTTCTGAGCCTTTTTTTCTTTTGCTCAAGGCCAGCAGCTACTTGAGACTGAAAAAGAAAAAACAACTTTGTGAGACCACCAGGTGCTGGTGTCTCACACCTGTAATCCTACTCAGGAGGCTTATATCTGAGGATCGTGGTTCAAAGCCAGACCAGGCAGGAAAAGTTTAAAGTGAGACTCTTATCTCAAATAAACCACCAGAAAACCAGAAGTGGCGCTGTGGCTCAAGTGGTAGAGCATTGGCCTTGAGCTGAAGAGCTGAGGGACAGCGCCCAGGCCTCATGACAGACCAAAAAAAAAGAAAAAGATACTTTGTGAGGAAACATCTGAAGAAAGTTAATAGAAACCAAAAAGAAGAAAAAGACCAAACTGTCTACTGAGACTAAGATACTCTGTATCTGACTTTAGTAGCTCTCATACAAATGAATCTGCATTTAGTGGCTCTCATGCAAATGGAGGTTAAGTGCGTGCCCTGGCCAGTCAACAAAATTATACCTATTGTCCAGGGAAAGAAAGTTAATTTAGACACAAAGAACATAAGGCCATACAGCCCACAAGAAAGGACCACAGAGAAGCATGAGACCACCCAGACGACGAGAAAGGACCACAGAGAAGAGACCACACAGCCCACAAGGACCACAGAGAAGCATGAGGCCACCCAGACCACAAGAAAGGACCACAGAAAAGCACGAGACCACGCAGACCACAAGAAAGGACCACAGAGAAGCATGAGGCCACCCAGACCATGAGAAAGAAACACAGAGAAGCACGAGACCACCCAGACCACGAGAAAGTACCACAGAGAAGCACGAGACCACCCAGACCACGAGAAAGGACCACAGAGAAGCAGGCCACCCAGACCATGAGAAAGGACCACAGAGAAGCACGAGGCCACACAGGCCACGAGAAAGGACCACAGAGAAGCATGAGACCACCCAGACCACGAGAAAGGACCACAGAGAAGCACGAGGCCACACAGGCCACGAGAAAGGACCACAGAGAAGCATGAGACCATGCAGACCACGAGAAAGGACCACAGAGAAGCATGAGACCACACAGACCACGAGAAAGGACCACAGAGAAGCTTGAGACCACGCAGACCACGAGAAAGGACCACAGAGAAGCAGAAGACCACTCAGACCATGAGAAAGGACCACAGAGAAGCACGAGACCACCCAGACCACGAGAAAGTACCACAGAGAAGCACGAGACCACCCAGACCACGAGAAAGGACCACAGAGAAGCAGGCCATCCAGACCATGAGAAAGGACCACAGAGAAGCACGAGGCCACACAGGCCACGAGAAAGGACCACAGAGAAGCATGAGACCACCCAGACCACGAGAAAGGACCACAGAGAAGCACGTGGCCACACAGGCCACAAGAAAGGACCACAGAGAAGCATGAGACCACGCAGACCACGAGAAAGGACCACAGAGAAGCATGAGACCACACAGACCACGAGAAATGACCACAGAGAAGCAGGAGACCACCCAGACCACAAGAAAAGACCACAGAGAAGCAGGAGACCACCCAGACCATGAGAAAGGACCACAGAGAAGCAGGAGACCACGCAGACCATGAGAAAGGACCAGAGAAGCAGGAGGCCACAGAGACCACGAGAAAGGACCACAGAGAAGCAGGAGACCACGCAGACCACGAGAAAGGACCAGAGAAGCAGGAGGCCACACAGACCACGAGAAAGGACCAGAGAAGCAGGAGGCCACACAGACCATGAAAAAAGACCACAGAGAAGCAGGAGACCACGCAGACCATGAGAAAGGACCAGAGAAGCAGGAGGCCACACAGACCATGAGAAAGGACCATAAAGAAGCACGAGGCCACACAGACCACGAGAAAGGACCACAGAGAAGCACGAGGCCACCCACACCATGAGAAAAGACCACAGAAAAGCAGGAGGCCACACAGACCATGAGAAAGGACCATAAAGAAGCACGAGGCCACACAGACCACGAGAAAGGACCACAGAGAAGCAGGAGACCACCCAGACCACGAGAAAGGACCACAGAGAAGCACGAGGCCACACAGACCACGAGAAAGGA